TGTATGTAGAAAAAGAAGTAACATTTTCAGGGTTACTGCTTTTACTTAAATGGAAAATTAGGAGTTTTTGTTAATTATGAATCACCCATCTCTCTCTTTTCTCTCTTTCTTTCCATCTTTTTTCTTTCCTTCCCTCCTATCCTCCCTCTCTCTCTCCTTCCTTCCTTCCTTCCTTCCTTCCTTCCTTCCTTCCTTCCTTCCTTCTTTCTTTTCTTCCTTCCCTCCTACCTTCCTTCTAATGATGACATGTATCCTATTGTTTGGTTGTAAACCAAAAAAAGGCTTCTCATGAAAACATTTGTTCCCAAAATGCTTTTGGGTTTTGAAGAACTAAAGTCAAAACTATTTTCCTCACCCTCTTTGTTTTGGCATAGAACAAAAAGAGTTAAAACTATTAGAAGAGTAAACAAAGAAAAGGCCTGCTTAATTCTCTGTATTTCCTTTGGCATCCTATTGAAGTGTGATCCTGGTGCGTGTTCACTGTGTATTTTTCGTTTTTTCGGTGTGGTCTTTATCCATAGTAAGTTTCAATTAACTTTTAAGACCCAGTGATATCCTAGAAAATCAGGGATGAATCACACTTTACAAGATGCTATCTAAAACAGTGGCAACTGAGGCAGATTTTCTCCATTGATTGATTTGTTTCTTTTCAAAGGCTGAATAGGTGGATTTATAATTGGGAATTTGAAATTAATGCATTTTAGTCTTTCCCACTAAAACTTCGGGCACTGCTGTTGCATAAGGGTACGAAAGTTTAACAATTCCCATTTTTTCCTCATTTTTGTTCATTATGAAAAAGTATTCTAAAAAAATCCTCAGTCTGAAAATTAATGAGGTGTTATAAATCCTTGGATATTTTCTTTCTGCTTCTTAGAACAGGACATTAGGGAAAGGGGAAAGAGAGCCAGTATGTCAGGAAACTAAATCTGCTCCACATAGGTCAAGTTTTGACAACTTCATTATCAATTTCACCAGGTTTTTAAATTTAAGTTGAAATTAGTGCTGTTTATTCTTTTAGTTTTCTTCCTGCACAAGTATTTCTGCCACCTTCAGGGATTTACTTGCCATTGGCAGAATTAAGGTCAATATTGTTTTCTGCTTGATACTGTATTTTTTATTTCTTAGGTGAAAACCTGCACTTGCTTTGCCATCAGTTCATTTATTTAAATAATATATTTCATATGCTTTCCCTCCCCCTCCTGCCCATGTCTGTAACAGGCCTCTGGTCCTTACTCTTGATAAACACATTGATTTATTTAAACCACTGTTGTCTTTGTCGCTCTCACAACAGACTACCTTCCTCACAGTGAGCAGACACATGATTTACTATGGAGGATGAAAATAAAATAAGCCTTCTTCTTCGTGTTCCATTGTCTGGGCCCTAAACCAGCTGTCTATTAAAATGGTTTCACTTAAAATAGTCAATGCTGTTTATATGCTTCTGTGATCTCCCAGCTGATCCAGTCCCAGCAAGCTTTATTCACACCCCACAGAGACACATATTTAAATTAGTAAGAAAAGCAGAAACTTCTAAGTTGGTTTAAGAAGCTCCTTTTCCTTTTAGGCTTAAAGTCTGGGTTTGCTGAACTGTGAACCCATCTTGACGTGTGTACAAAATGTAGATGGTAGAAAGTTGATGTGTGGCTCTCAGTTGTGTGTGTAAGCTGCAGGGAAAGCCTGGTGACATTTTTCAAAAGTCTGTCTTACTAAAGAAACTCTGCTTCAGATATACTCAGCAAAACAAATTTATCATATTTTACCATTTTGGATCTCATTAGAATATTGATTTCTTGGCTCATATCTTTTATATGATATTGTATGTGTGTGTGTGTGTGTGTGTGTGTTAAGAAGGCTTTTCAGTGACAAATATTGCATCAGTGACGTCAGAGGTAGATCTGCCTGTGACTGAGGTCCACTTTTTAACTAATTCTGTTATACTAATGTTCTAATTTATTGTACTTCCAGGATTTTAGTTCTACTTCATAGGAGAATGAAAAGACTCTCCGTTTCTCTTACTTTTATTTCAGAAATCATAGAAGTAGCACTTCTTTCCCTGTGTTTATGTGCTAAAAAATATTGCTCTGTTGAGGCATCAAAAAGAGGGATGGCAGAAACTTTATGCTTCCACTCCTCTCTAGAATTCCTAACTATTTCTGAGCAAATCTGAACTCATGCTTTTATTTTTCTATGCTTGATTTAGAGGATTCTCCATTTTGATTCTGCTGCCAGAAGTGAATTGGCAGCTTGGCATTTAGTAAAGAGGTGCATTACAGAGGTGCTGGGCCTTCAACAAATGATATTCAGTCACTAAAGATAAAAACCTGGGATCCCTGGGCATCCATGGGTCATCTGTTTAGGGCAGTGGTGAGCATATCTGCACTGTGGCATGTCTTTCATTGAATATCACCATGGATATCACTGGTTTTGGTGGAATCAGCAGCCTCAACAAAAATAATATCATCTAGAAAGAATCAAAGTGAGAAGGCTTATATAACTGAAACACATTCCTCTTAAAAAAAAACCAAACTTTTTTTTTTTTTTACAGGAAGGAAAACCCTACCATATCTGTGGATATATTTATCAAGTTACTTATATCAGTTTAGCATAACAAAAAACTGAAATTGAAACAGAGGGTTATTGGGATATTAAGAGAATATCCCAAACATGTAGTGATAATAGGATGTCACAAAAATGCATGATTAAAATTTTTAATCAAAAAAATTTTTAATCACCATGTTTGATACCTAATCGGTTACTTACAGTTATTTCTTTGATTTGAGCAGTGATTGGAATAAATAAAGCAGACAGATAAAATTTTTGGCTTTCAAAATGTTTTTGATTTACTCTGCATTTTCTTGAATAAAGCAACTTCTTGGGTATTTGAAAAGATCTCTTAAGAATACAGGAAAGAATCATCAGTGGATGCTGACACTTGTGGATGAAAATTTTAGGCATCATATGATATTACCATAATGGAGATGATCTCTCCAAGAGGATGGTTATGCATTACATAAAGTGAAGTAGTAATCTAACAGTGGGGAAATCGGACTATGATCTCTAGTGGATGGCAGTCACCACCTTAACCAAATGGTCAGAGTTTACTGCCAGTAATGGAACTAGTTGACAGTGTGATCTGATATACTGGGAAGAACCCAGAATCACATCTGTAGCATTCTGGCCCTGAATTGTGTAACTTTAGCCTAAGTCTGAGGAAACATCAGACAAACCCAAACTGAGGATACTGTACAAAAGAACTGGCTTATCGTCTTTAACAATGTCAACACCATTAACTCGACTCAGGAACGTTCTATATTAAAGGAGACAGCACAACTGAATGCAGTGATTGGTACTGGATTTTTAAAATCATTTATGTATGTATGTATGTATGTATACATGCAATGAAGGACATTATTGGGTAATTGGTAAATGTCAGTAAAGCCTGTAGATTAGCTTATGGTATATCTGTGCTAATTTTCTAATTCAGATACTTGTACTGTGGTTATGGAAGAGAATTCTTCATTTTAAGGAAAATATATGCTGAAGTATTTAAAATATGTCTGCAGTATACTTATAAACAGTTTAGAAAAAAATAGGAAAGAATAAATGCTTTTAGTGAAGTGTAAACATTTGAGGGAGATGATTAAGGAGTATCTTGTAATTCTTTATATATTCTTGCAGCTTTCCTGTAAGTCTAAAATTATGTCAAAATAAAATGTTGAAAAATACAAGGTTATGATAGACTAACCATAAAAAATGGTTTTGACTGCTAGTGAAAGGTTTTCTCCTTATACAAGTACTTTACATCATGTTTTTATTTGTTGCAATTTTTGTTCTGTAATGGAATTAGATATTATACCCAGAGCCTGCTCTAGAGTCTGCCCACACTGTGTCTTCTAAAAGTCCCAGGTTTATAAACAAAGCACATTAAAGCCAACTACAAAAGGTCACCATAGCATCTCTGTACTAAATAAAGATAGTCTCTGGTTAATTTAAATAGTTTTGCCACCAAGAAATTGAGAGTTATCTGAATGTGTGAAAGTAATTTTATTAATAATTTGAAGCAGTGTTTGTATTATGCACTGATAGAGTGTTAAGTTAGTTAAAATGTATCCTGATGTAGAGCTTTACTCTACCAATAGCTGTGTTTTTCTCCGGCCCAGGTATTAGCTTGTCACCCAGGTATTAGCTTGTCCATATTCCAGGAGGCTGCCATCTCAGGGAAACTTCAGGGTGATTTTAAGCAAAATGTTTGTATGCACATTACTAAAAACAGACAAAGACAAACTGGCTGATGAGGTAGTTTGGAGCCCAAATTTTGGGAGTCAGATGTAATTCTTCTCAGTTTAGGGAGATAACTCCATGGCTTAAGCCCACACACGCACAGCATATGCCGGTGCGTATTACTGTTTGGGTGGGTGTACACCCTGGAGAGCACATGTTTTCAGCCTGTAGGCGGGAAGAAGGATTTTCCCTGATTGATGAATCATCTCAAAGAAGACACAGTTAGTGAACGGACTCATTAACCATACCCCCACTTGTTTTTTGCTACTCATCTCTAGAACAGTAAATGCTGGGGCTGGAAGTAGTAAAATGAAGTGACAAATGCATGTTTAGATGTCAAATCCACGTGCTTTTCTGTATTTTAAATCACTGGTATCTGAATCTGCTAAACCTTCTGGGTTTTTCTACCTTCAATGATTAGGTTTATCTTATTCTGAATTGAAAGGAAAATTGTGGTTGTCTTGACAACAGAAGTTCATCTCACTTACCGATCCAAAGGTGTGCGTCATAGTAATGTAGTTTACGGGACAGAGAGGAACATATGCCCTCTACTTGATTTGAGTTGATCCTTAACAATGTATCTTGAAATAGCTCAGTGAGGCAGCTCCAGAGAGCAAATTGGCTCTCAGCAATGTTGAAGTGGTCAAATACTCAATTGTTAATAGTTTGTTCTCTTTACTTAGTTCCATTTTTAGCTCAAATCATGCCTTTGTTTTCAGGCCATAGTGTATGAAGGCCAAGACAAGAACCCAGAAATGTGCCGAGTCTTGCTCACACATGAGATCATGTGCAGGTAAGAAAAACCTTGTTCTCTCCCTTTAATTAGCAGAGAGAAGATGAGTTCGCATCTCAAATCTAGGTGAGCTCAGGATTATTTAGGGGTATATATCTTGTATTAGATAATTTAAAAAGAACTGTTAAACACGAGTATTGGTAGTAAAGTGTCACAGACATCTCAGTAGTTCTTGACTATCAGATTTCATACTGAAAGACATATATTTCCATATTGATATCACACTTTTAATGGGCACAAAGCAGTGCCCTCCCCTTCTTCCTTTCAATCAAACAAAATACAGTATATCCTTTTAGTGTTAATATATGTGCTCAACTGCATTGTTAGTAAAATGAGTAAGAGTTCTATTGATGTCAGCAAAGCCTCTGTTTGGATAAGACTTGAAAGTTATAGTTCCCCTTTTTAATTCTCCCACTTGAAAATGTGACCGTCGGTGCAAAGGCATCATTCCTCCTTAAGTCAAGCGTGGGTTTTCCCCCCTTGCATCTGATCTCTCATCTTAGTGACCCAGTATAGAACTGTGACAGTGTAGCTAATATTTTTAAGTGGCAGTGAGCTTTTAGAAGGATGGCAAATGTTTACACCTGAAAGTTATAAAAATTCATGTCACCCACAAATGAGTGTATTTATTTTGCCTGTAATCAGACATAAGCCATACATTTGAAAATAAGAGCAGACCAAATTCACTTTCATGGCCTCAGCCAGTCCTCCACATGTGAGAGAGTAGACCAGAAAACAGCCTTTAAACTTGCAGTATAGGATTCTCCTTCTTCATAAAATAACACCAGCATAAAATAACACCTGATATATTCTGAGTAATTGGACAAAGCATGAAGATGCCACTATGCATCAGGGAAAGGCTACTAATTGCTTTGTTAGCCACGCAGGCTCTCCCTGGCACAAAGTATGCTTGGCTCCTGACTATTACTGACCAGTCGTTTTAGGCTTCAGCTGCCACTTCGGCATGGGTGGGCTTTATCTGCAGCTCATGGACTTATGGGGAAAGCAGTCTTAAAACTCCACAGGTGGGAATAAAATAAAAAGGGCTTAGTGTGTTTTCTTACTGAAATCCCAAATATTAACTTCAATATCTGTTATTATGGATGCATGTAAAATTATTATTTTTCTTTTTAAAGAGCATACTTTCAATAGATTATTCCAGATTCCCCAAGTGTTGGACAAGTTTTCACTTCAGTGATTTGTAAAACTTGTCAATTATTACATGAACAGGTAGCTTTTCCTTGCCTTTAAAACAGTAGCACAACCCAAAAATATGGTCATCAGTTTCTTAGAAGATATTATTAGATAAAAATTAGTGTTGTACCATATACAGCAATTGTACAGTTAAAGCTGAGTTACACTTTTCAGAATTAAATGAGTAAAATCATTTTGAAAAGCATTTAAAAAATGACCTCCTTTGTATTACTGTTTTTCTGATCATATCTCTATTTTAGCTTCCTGCAATTAGCATGTCATTAGAATGAATTTTCCATGTTCTGTTATATGTGGTTCTGGCAAATAGGGGACAGACAGGAAGATGGATCTCCAACAATAGGCCAACTAATGTCTATGTATCATAGATTTGCATCTCATATCTGTACACGTTTGGACTGTGCTAGAAATAATTCTGTTCTTGAAATACTTAAAGATATATTATGCCTTTCACAAACAAGCCTACCCTCTATTAGTGCAGTTTATATTTTTCTTGTTCTTAAAATTCATTGGCCCAAAGTACTTTATTATGCTGGTTGGCGTGCTTCACTGCTGATGTTCTTTCTATTTTTCAGAAACATAAAAATAGCAAAAATAAAATTCTCAAGCCACTGAAGGCAAATGATGATGTTTGTACTGTGTGGCTAAGAGGGAAAAGCCATATTCAAAATGTCATCCTGCTAATGTTACAGATTACGGTTTTCCTGGCTGCCTATAGATGTGTAAGGGGTACTGTTTGTTTACCAGGCCGCCATGACCCTATTACACAAACCTGTCATCTATTGTGTGGCTAACAGTCTTTTAAATTGCAAATCTGATGCTCTTTAGGGGGCTTTAGGAAAAAAATTCTCACTTTCCACACCATCCTATTTCTCTTGATTTCTTGCCTGTTGTAAGTGGAAGTTGGGATGTGCTGAATTTGCACCAGGGGTGCAAATGCAGGCTCAATTATAAGCATAAAATTAGAGTCTGTTCACCATTAATCAGCCTGGCTAATTGCTATGCACCACCATTAGCCATATGGTGTGAAAGACAGCTTGCTCTCCCCAAGATGAAATTTCTTCATTGCAGACATGAAATAGTGAGGGCCTTGGATTTTAAAATAGCTTGTTTTAGATATTTAATTTCTAAACAACTTTCTGCAGTGCTTTCTATCAAGGCTAACGGCACAATAAAACTTTGCATTTATGTCACAAAAGCTGTATATTTATAGTACATTGGAGCTATGGTAAAGGAGACACAGAGAATTTAGATCGACGAGAAAGGGCTTGGATGATTCTGTTTTGTTGCAGGCAAAGAAAAAAGAAAAAGGAAAACAACAACAACAACAAAAAACACCAGGGAGTTGTGTCTCAGGTGGTTGCAAATTAAAAAAAAAAATATTTTATTCTGTTGAGAGGGTAACCCCATTGCATGAGCTGGCTTAAGGATTTACTGCCATTAGATTATAATTACTGCCTCTCTTTGAGACAAAACCTCTTTGACTTGATGACATAGAACACTTTTTGTGGGATTCTGGGAGAGCTTCTGCATTTCTGGTAGTTTGGAATCTATCATACCAATTATCATTATATTTTGCTAATACTTAGTAGTTAAATTCTTTAAAAATGCTCCCCCCCCCCGAAGGATTTTGTAAAGTGGGAGTATATAAGGGATTTGATTATACGTGCATCTCAATATCCTGTGTTTAAATGTAAATGGAAAATAAGAAATATGCTTGGTGGGTGAGCCCTAGTCCCCAGCCCTCCAGGCAGGCCAAAACTGATTTTCTCCTTATCTAGTGTACAGGATGATTGCAGAGGATAGGTGCTCTGTTGAGGAAGGCATTCTTTTTCCATTAGCAGTGCCCAGCCTCTTGGGGGACTGTGTGTTCCCAGGGCAAGCCTGGCCCCTTGAAATAGTCTTTTCTTTCTTCCTCTTTTGCCAACTTGTTCTGGTTTTGTCCTTCAGATTTCTACTTAAGCATGGGTTCTTCAGCAAAGCATCCCTGGCCCTGGGCCTGAGTTATATCCCCTTGCTTTGCACTCCTATTATATCCTATGCTTTTCCTTCATAGCACTCAGCACGTTGGAACCATATGTCCAGGGCCTGTCCTCCTTTGCTGAACTAAGAGCTCCCTGAAGGCAGAGAAGTCACTCAGCTTTCGTCGTCCTATGTGTGAAATGGGGGGAAAATGTGACTTCTCTCATAGGTTGGTTGTTAAGCTTAAATGCTATAATCCCCATAAATATTTAGCATAGTCAGTACTGAGTGTCTATTGTTACTCCTGATAGGAATAGCAGTAGTATTAGCAGTAGCATCAACAGAAGTGGTAGTAGTACCAGTGGCAGCAATATCTGCAGTGTCTAGCTAAGTACCTGGTACATAGTCGCTCAGAGTGAAGGATGATAAGTGAACATTGAAGGGAAGTGAGGTGCCTACTACAGCATTTACATACCTTGTTCATTGGGTATGGTGGTTAAGGATATTTTCATTCATTCTTGTAGTACCTGCTATGTGCAAAGCACTGTGGAATGCAGAGCCAAAGGACTGGTCCTGTAGTAGGAGTGGGTTACAGATCAGCCCAGGAGATGAGATCTGTAGGCAGATGACCAGACTGCAATGTAGACAGGGTTGTCTGTGATGAGGGGTGAAGCGAGGGACTGTGGTTGTTCAGAGAAGGGAGGATGTACCTGATGGTGGATAGTGGCCACAGGAATGAGGAGGAGGGTGAGATAGGACAGGAATTTTAGAGGGTGTATAAAGAAGTGTTTGGGCCTGTTTGTTGGTGGTCTGGCACGATTTCTCTGGGGATAGGATTGCAGGTGGGCAGGCTGGGGCTTGGAGCTGGGGAGAGAGTAAGGGTAAAAGAAAGATAACCAGCATCAGAGACATCTTTTCCCAACAGTGGATTTGAAGCTATAGGCTTACATGGGATTGGAAAGGGTAGGAGAATAGAAAGAGTAGAGGCCACGGGTATATTCTTGGGGAGTGGTAATATTTAGCAAGGAGGCAGGGTGTTCAAGAATTAGAAGAAAGGGAACACTGGGTGGCTCAGTGGTTGAGCATCTGCCTTCGGCTCAGATCATGATCCCAGGGTCCTGAGATGGAGTCCTGCATTGGGTTCCCCACAGGGAGACTGCTTCTTTTTCTGCCTATATCTCTACACCTCTCTGTGTGTCTCATGAATAAATAAAATGTTTTAAAAATTAAAAAAAATAAAGGAAACATTAAAAAAAGAATTAGGAGAAAGAACATTGAGCATCCAGGGCATAGAAGTGAAAGGAAAGGTATTTCCAAGATGCGGAGCCATCCATATGATAAGTCCTGGGAAATCCAGATGGATTTGCACAGAGAAAAGCACCAGAAAGTCACTGGTGAACTTTGAAAAAGGATATTCAAGTAGGTGCTGAGGCCTGGAAGCCAGATTTTGTGGGATTAGATGGCAAGGAATGATGGCGACTCTGGTGAGGAGAGAGGTAGGCAGTGAAGAAACTAATTCAAGAGAAAAGGAGAAAAAAAATTTTTTTAAGATAGTGGGAAAACTTGACCTCTAAGTTACAAAGGGAAAGAGTGAACCTATCCTTATCATTATTAATCAAACTATTTAGATAATTCATGTATCTCATTCTGTAGCCACTTGGGCTAAACAGGAAAGATAATCTTGTTTTCTGCTGTAAAGCTTAGAGATTGAGGTGATCCTTTTCTCTAGTTGAGAGAGCCTCTACTTCTAGGAAGAGATGCCATGTCTGTAAGATGAGGATCTGCAGGTCCTGTGACGGGGAAGCATATAAATGTTGCTTGCCCTGATTTAGGAAGCTGTGTGTCAGCTCCCTGGAGATATGCCACCTTGTGTTAGCTGCTAAGGGGGAAGCTCATACGTTGGCTTTGCCCTGGGTGTGCAGAATTATCTGGGAGATGCACCATCCTGCCGGGGAAAAAGGAGGCTATATTTGAGTCCACAGTGTTTGTAGATACTGGGTGCTGGATACCCACTCCTGTGACCCATGCCACATAGCCATCCTGCCTCTTGAGTTGCAGGTTGAGAAGGGATGTGAAATAGTGGGCTTCCTGCTCTATGACAAAGTCAATCAGGAAACTCTGAGCCCCCTGATAGATGCCCACTTTGGGGGTCAAATGCCAGGTCTGTGCCTGGTACAGTAAGAGCCAAAGAAACCGTTTTCAGTGGATGAAGATCCATCTGTCATGCAGTGATGAGGACATAATTGTCACTGCTATTTCTTTCATTGACACAATAAATTTCCCTTAAAGAGGTTTCAGGTCTCTTGTTCCATGCACTATATTGTTTCAGCCTGAGTGTTCTGCCTTAAACAGGAGCTAATCTGTTCTCCTTTCAGCCTGTCCTCTTTGGTTAATGCCTGTCTTGTGTGATAGAGGTAGTGCCTACCTTTCTTGATCCTTCTGAGTTCAGTAGAAGGAACTAGGAGGCACTAGGTTTAGAGAAGAGATGAAAGAGAAGGGCGAGAAAGACTGTCATGGGGAGGAAGGGCTAGTTCCTGCTCTGGGTGACTTTGGGCTCGGAACTAGGGAGCTGCATGTGGGGGGCAGGCAGTGGGGAGGGCAGATGTCAGTTCAGCCTAACGGAAGACATTTGTTCCCCAACTTGATTGATTGGTTGATTTTCAATTTTTTAGTAGGAAAGTAATATTGCAGTACAAAGCAGAAGACTGGGGGCAGGGCAAGATGGTGGAAGAGTAGGGTCCCCAAGTCACCTGTCTCTACCAACTTACAAAGCAGAAGACTACAGAAGTGTGGAAATAAAATATATACCCTCCATTCCTCCCCGCTTCTTATTCTACTCGCTACAGGTGACTTCTTTGAAGTTTCTATTCATTTATTCAAAACCTATTTCCTTAGGGTCTGCTGCTGTGCCTTGGGCTTTGTTCTAGTTGCTGGGAATATGGGGGTGGACAAAACCGTCTAGGACCTTTTCCTCATGGAGAGGCAGACAGCATAGGAGGAAGCAAATAAATATAAAATATGATGTGATGAGTGCTAGGGAGAAAAGTGAGACAGGATGAAGGAGAGCTCTGGGGGGAGTCAATCAGGGAAGGGCTTGCATAGAGATTTGAGTGAAGTGAGGGGTGAACTGGCTTGTGGCCAATTCTCTCTTCCTCTCCTCTTCCCCTTTCTCTTTCACTCTTTCCTTTTTTACTCCCAGAATTAGGACCATACCATACATACTATTTAGCAACTTGGCTTTCTTGATTCGTAATTTGATTTTGACTTCTTTCCATGAGAGTGTATAAAAACCCACCTTCATCTTTTTAATGCTGTACATAATTCCATATATACATATATGTATGCACACATATATGTGCAATATCTATGTCTTTTTAAAGCAGGGCTCATCCTGTAGACACTATTCTGTCACCACTCCAGGTGCAGAGTAGAGCCCAAGGCTCCCATTTGGGGAATGATGGCCATGTGATGCAGGAACATGACCCCACCCAGAGATAGGAAACCTGAGGGGGGCCATTTTTATACTTTGCCTAAAGTTTTCTTTTCGTAGGTGTTAAGTGACCTTCAGCCCCCTGATTTTGTTTTCTCTTCTTTCCTTCATTACCTCCTTTTATTACTGCTCCATCTTTCCCCTCTACACTTCTGTTCTTCACATCTGCCTTTCCCAGGGGTCCCTTGGGGCACAGCAGAGAGAAGTGGTTCTCATTTATGCTGTGCTTCAAATCATCTGGTTGTGCTCAAGGGCATTTTTATTTTAAGGGGATGAAGAAAGACAGGACTTACGTCAAAGGAAAATCTCAGGCCTTGTGTGGCACTTGCTTGGGGGAGGTGGTTTGATGCATGGGGTGGGATGGGAGTGAACCTTCCTTCCATCAGCAGTGCCTGATCAGAGGGTCAGCTTGGCTTCCTCTACCCGTCACCTTCCTATTTTCTTGGGTCGTATTTCCCCTAGTACCTTACATCATTCTTGAAGTCATTCGATCAATCAGTCAATCAATCAATCAATATTTGAGCGTCCCCATTCTATTTCAGGCCTTACAGTACTCATTAGGTAAATAAAATTGACAGTTTCTTCCTTTATGAAGCATCTGGATTAGTAGGGGAGGAGGTTGAGAGTGGAAGGAGAGTAACAACACAGAAACACTTATGTAAGAATAATTTGCATTGTGTTACATGCCATGTTACATTGTGTTGCAAGGAAAAACCAGGAAGAGCCTAAAGGATGTCAGGGACAGCCTCCCTGGAGAGAGAGTGTAGAGGCTGAGACCTGAATAGGAAGTAGAGGCTGGTCAAGTAGGGAGGGGTTTGAGGAAGAACAGGCCAGGTTGGGAGACCTGCCCAGGCCTGGGCGCAAGGTCAGCCTGAGTGAGGCCTATCAGAGAGACTGGCCAGTGGGGTTGGAGGTTGGCAAGTCAGAGGAGAGTGACAGGAGGCTGGGAGGTGGTCTGATATCATGTCACGCCATAGATCTATTCTAAGCCATGAAAAGGTCTTGGTTGGTGAAGTGACACAGTCCCATTGATATTTTGAAAAGATCACTCTGGCTGTTATAGGAAGTAAAGAGTGGAGGCAGCAAGGCTAGATGGGAGGCCACTGCAGAAGTCCAAGTGAAGAAAGAGAGTGACATGGATGAGGGTGATGGCAATGAGGAGAGAGAACCAGACATGACATATAGATTCTGCTCTGAACTTGCCATCATGTAAGGTAGAGCCCCTGGAGGGCACTGACTCTGGTGAGAGTTCAACCATCAGGAACTTGCCTTGCCCACCCACTGTTTGGGGAAAAAAGTGGGGGAGTATGGAAAAAGATGAGGAGAAATAGGCCTTCTCACCCACTGGTTTTCTCCCTGGGTAAAGGGGACATGAGATCTGTTGATAGGCAGCTATTGGAGACCTGCTGCTTTTGCAGAGTGCAGAGCAGCTTTGCTCAGGTTCAGAGGAAGAGGAGGTCAGAGGAGGAAGGAGCAAGGAGTGATAATGATGCTATGATGCTAACCTTTGTGCAGCAGCTAGTAGGACCAGTCGCAGAGCCCAGGTTTATACCCTGATTGCATTGAGTCTGCACCCTGGCACTTGGAGGTGGGCACCAAAGTTGTCCATGGTACAAATGAGGAAACTAAGATTCCATCACCTTGCTTAGGGTGGTACAGGTAGCTCTGTCTGATTCTGGAACCATTTGTTCTTAACTACCACACTCTTCTGGCAAGCCTTTGAAATGTAAGTGTAGGGGACCACAGTGGAAGGATCATGATGTTTAGTTTTTAATTTTTTTTTTTTTTTGCAAGCATTCCAATCAGGGTACTTCTCATTCCCTTGTTTCTTCATCTGCCTCTTCATTGAGACACTTTGTGCTTTCTATCCCCATAGTCCCATTAGAACTTAGGGCTAAAGGAAATAGTTCCCTTTGAATCAGAAAGGGAAAGCTATAAGGTAGGTGTAGTGACGTTCAGCTGGGGCTTTGACAAAGGAGATAGAGTTCTTACTATTGCTTTCTGAAGATATGAGAGACAAAGAGAATTAACACCAAATTTGGAAGCTGATTCTTTTCTCAGAGATATAGTCATGGTCAGGAAAGAGACTTCCCAACTTTGGTGAAAGACTCTCCATCCAGGAGTGTATTTCTGGGTCCTGAAAATGCAGTTCAATGTTTGGTTCCCTCTAGCAGCTTTCTAAATTTAGGCCCTATGATTCACTAAGTCAAATGTGTGTGTGCGCATGCGCACACATGTGCACGTGTGCGTGTATGTGCATGTATATGCCTGTGTAAGAAAGAGGGAGAAAAGTGCATATTTTATTGGTGGCACATCATAATGTAGAACCCTTGGATAACTTTCTCGCATCCTTGACTGATCAAACATGTGCCTTTATAGTGTGCCCCTGGGTGTAGAGTGACCAAGGCACACATATTTTATTTGCAAACAGGTTTCAGATGGATAGTTCTCCATCGATCATGGATAATTTTCGAAAAACCTTAATTTTTCACCACCTGGAAGCATCCAGGTTTTACAGAAACCGACAGCCTTATCATCAGAGCTGGGGTGGGATTTTGATAGTGGGTGCTTTGCTTGACCTTGGCTGCTTTTTCTCTAACCTAATCAAGAGCATCCACTGTCAAGGCTGTGCTAGCCTTTGGATCAACTGTCCATAATGCTTCCAGAAAACATAAATGATGGCCAGCATAGGACATAGAAGCCAGACAACATGTGGATGTCCACTTTGTTTTATCTTGCCTTTTCTTCGTCTTCTTTATTATGTTGTACTTTTATTCTCATGAAGATGGTTCAGAAGCAAACAGTTATAGCTTTAGGATTTTGGGCAGGCTACGGTTGAAGAAAGCATCTCCCTTGAAAGAGAAAGGAGAGGAAAAAGGAATCCATTTAATACAGAATGACTGGAGGGGGAGAAATCACTCATACCTCATTATTGACGCGTTCCACACAATTAGAGTGATCTTGAGGGAAGAACGTTTGAGCCACCCACAACCCTGAATATTCTCATTGGGTAGATATAATAATAATGCATTTCACAGTGAACTCCTCAATGCTGCGGGCAGTTATGGGGAGACCCCATCTTAGGGCTGTCAGTGTGGCTCCAGGAGAGTCTCTCTTCCTCCCTCCTTCTTTGTTCAGGGAGAGGTTAAGCCTGGCCATTAACCCATAGGCGACCCACATACAATTTTCTGTCCCAGGGATCCGTTGATTGCCAGGTATGGCTTTGTGGTAATTCTAGCATTTGCAACCCAGCAATTTGAACCTTCTGTCTGCCTAAATGATGATTTTACATTGTAATGGTTGTACTAAATCCTTTCGCTTTTGCTCCATAGCCGCTGTTGTGACAAGAAGAGCTGTGGCAACCGAAATGAGACTCCCTCAGATCCAGTGATAATTGACAGGTAGGGACCACTCTACTTTCACTGGATTCTTATTCCTCATTATAATGAAACACCTGCCTTGTGTCGCTCATGGGTGAGGGTGAGGAACGCATGTGGCCGAAATTTGCCTGTTGGCCATGACTAGTCTGCGCCGAGCTTTTGCGATTCCTGGGAAAACCATATGGAATGTTCTTTGGAGGCCCGTTTTCTTGGATTGCTTCGGTTTCGTGTCTGATTCATGATCTTAAAGGAATATTTTTTTCTTTCCTGACTTTCTGTGGCTCAATCCTCATGCTGTGCCAGGAAGCTTCAGAAATAAAATAATAATAGTTTGTGATTTATGAAATGTGGTTGGGTGCTTATAAATATTTAACTTTTATTTGAAAAATGTTTGAATCATTATCACTTTTAGCTACAGTAGTTCTGTTGGACGTAATCCATCTACATTTTAGGGTTTTATTTATGCATAAAAGCAGTTTTAAAGAGATCTGTGAACCAAGAGTTTCTACTCTTATCTCCCGGCATTTGATGGTAGCTCATACTGTATTGTAAGTTGATTAATTTATCCTGCTTGTCTTAATTATTGTGTTTTTAAACAGATCCATATTACTAATCTGACATGACCAAGTAAATCACTGTAGAACAATAAATCTGTTTTAGTTGTTTGGTGCAATTTGGAATCGGGGTGTGCACATATTATGCAGAGTTGCATCCCAAATATTCATTTTACATTTTAATTATTGAAATTCATTGTATGGAAACATGTATGATAAACCATTTGTTACATAGCATTACTCATTGAGAATTAAATGGCCTGGAAGGTTTATAGATACTGTCAGTTGTCAGTTAGGAAAAGCTAGCACCCTGCACTAGCTGGAAGAGTCTTGCAGATTAGACGGACTGATCTGATCCCTCATTGAGAAAATTAACAGCTGAACAAAGGTTCCTTTTGAGTTTGGTAATAATAATTTTTACCAAAAACAAAACAAAACAAAACCCCAAACATACCCTATCTATCTGTCTTTCCAATTCTTTACCTTTTGGGGTTTACTTTATTGTTTTTAGTTGACTGAAAAACTGCTTCATTGTAATTTAGGTCAAAACATTGATTTGTTCATTTGGATTCATGTGATTCTTCAGGCTTAAACCCAATTTTGATTGCCAAGTTGCTTTATAAAGCTTACATTTCAATCAGGTATTTTCACTAAACATCTCTCTAATAGTCACTCAAAACATACACCCTTGCTTGATAACTAAGTGTTGTTAATATGCTTGATTCAAAAATTAATACATGTGGATGTTTAGTGTGAAGTGAGGTTGTGTGCTGCCTGTAGAGCTGGAATAGCATGTTTGTCTGCAAGAGCAGACGCGCCATTCGTGTAATTCCTTTTTCTGCAATGGAAGATAAATCTTCGAATGAAAAAGGTCAAAAATAAATATAACCTTTATGCTGTTTGTTTTATTTAAATCCATCTCTCCGAAATACCATTTGTTATTTTAAACAAGTTTTTCTTATGCTTCTGTTAAAAAGAAAGTGTTCTGATCAAAGGACCAGCCCAAATATTCCCCCAAACTTTGAAACTATAAGCATTCTGTTCTCCCGCTCAGTTCCTTTTGGTGTACATGATGACAAGCAACCGTACTTTGCCACCCGCAATGAAAACACTTCTTTTGCTTGTGAATGGGTTAAGCTTTTAAGTTCTTCATTTGGTTTTAAGCCGTGACTCTGATATAGAAGGTTGATATGACTGTGGTTTGAATAACATTTGATTTTGACCTGTTCTTGTGGGTTGCGATGGCATAAGAAACTTGACTCAGCAGCGCTGTAATTAGCCCGGCCCGTGTTTTTGAAACAGGATTGTGTTACCTGGATTGCATTAGTGTGGCTTCTATTGTTGCCGCCTAGCATCTGTCCCAGTAGGGTACTTAAAACCTTTTCTTGGCTGGGGTAGTTCAAACAATTTAGGCAAAATAAGTATGCACTTTATACTGTTGGTGGCTTGAGAGATATTACTCATGACATTTCTCCTTTTCATTTTTTCCCTTTTTGGTTTGACAAAGTAGAAAACAGTGTGTAGCCAATGTTGGTCTCTTAAGAGAGGAGTATTTTAAAAACGGCTGAAACCCAGTGGATCTGCAGAAGCCTCAACATATGTTTATTTGCTGGCGATTGCCACTGTCTCCCATGAACTGTCTTTTCAAGCAGTGATGCCAGCTGATATGCAAAACCCCATTTAGCTATTTTTATTTGCATCTGAGTTTTCAGAATTTATTTGTCCTTGAGTCTGCCAAAGGTTTTAAAAGCTCCAGCCCTGTCTATGCTGATATGTGAAACTTTCATTTTTAACAATGAGGGAAGAAAATAACAACAAGAAAAGAACTCACACAAGGAAGGGCAAAATAGAAAAGATTTTTCAATTCCATAAAATTGCTGCAAAGGAAAAAAAAATGATGGCAACTGTGTTTGAATTTCATAGTTTCCAATTTGATTCTATATTACTGATTGCATAATATCTGCGTTACGTGCTTAGGGTTTGATTTGCTTTCAGATTTATGGATGTGAATCTCTGCATATTTTGCAAAAATAGGTTATGGGGCCTGCATTCAGTAGCAATAGTAACTGTTTTTACAAGATGCATACAATATGCAATTATAGAGCTGAAGGTACAGGCAATCACTGTGTTAGGATTTAGCATAGTTTTAACACGAAGTCACCTTTTGGGCACCAATAATTTTTAGCTCCCTTTGCTTGTCCTTCGGATTTTGGAAGAACACTGCTATTTTTATCAGTCAAAAGACTTTTAGCAGTGGTTATTCAGGAAAACTATTTATAGGATAGATAGAAGAGGTTTTCTGGTCATACGGTAATGGTGCAGGGTAAGCTATTTTCTGTGTTGAATTTTGGCTAGATTATTTGCTGCCAGTGATTTGGGGACATCAGCATGGCATATTCTATCAAAAAAGTGGGATTAACAAAATCAGCAGTTGCATGTCATGATTTAGAAAATGGGTTTCTACTTCCTTCTTTTATAATAGCATGCAACAAAGTAAGAAAAACATGACCCAAATTCTTTTTTACATTTGTGACAATTTGTCAAGTCACTTCAAAAAAGTTTATAGGAGGGATCCCTGGGTGGCGCAGTGGTTTAGCGCCTGCCTTTGGCCCAGGGCGTGATCCTGGAGACCCGGGATCGAATCCCACGTCAGGCTCCCGGAGCATGGAGCCTGCTTCTCCCTCTGCCTATGTCTCTGCCTCTCTCTCTCTCTCTATCATAAATAAATAAAAATTAGAAAAAAAAATTTATAGGAAAATTTCTGTGAATGTAGGAGGTTTGTGTGTGAAGTTGACTGCCAGGTCATATTTCAGTCTGATGCCAAATGGCTTGATTAAGAATTATAAAGACCAGGATGTGCCCAATGATCCAGATATTTGGGCTGTGTAGACATGGAAAAAGTCATATGTGTTATGTTTAATAACCGATGACCAGGAACTAAAAAGAGCAAATTTCATTATCATTGAGGTAAATGGCTATGTGTGGTAATTGTTGTTAAAATAAAAAAGTAAAAACCGACTTACTGTTATTAAATTAAGGTGGAGATTGATTTAACATATTCACACAGTAACTCATATTTGAATTTAAAAGGTTTGCAATAAAATTCATGTTTAGAAATTGAATAAATTGTAGTTTTATTACCACATTGGATATCCTTGTGTCCTAACCTTTTTCCTTGGAGTTATCTTAGTTCAATAAATAAAACCTCATTAGACTATTCCCATTTCAACGAGTTTATTAAATTTTGCAGGAGTAATTAGCATAAGCTGTGCTAATTTTTCTGGAAGACTAATGAGGGAGGTTCTTAATTAGGTTTACTTTGTAAGAATCAGAAAAGATGGTAATGACAAAAGTCACACAGGGTAGTCTGAATCAGGAACCCAGTTTTTCTGAATCTATAAAAAAATCTTCCATTTTTTAATATGGAAACTTCTTTATAAATACTTGAACTGAACATATGAAGTGTACAGGCTGTTATTGCATATCTAGTTAGTTAGGATTACCTTCCATTCTTGTTTTGCTTCACAAAACTCTTTATTTTCCTATCTTTGACTCACTAAGCTATCTTTGAGCGAAGACATGGGTGAATGCAGATGGTCTTACAAAAACATTTCTTTCTCCCAATTATATCATAGGATTCCTTTTACAGAGAGCCCTGAAGTTTCCAGCCCGATTAGTTTTGCTTATTTCCAGTAGGGCAGGTTAGGGTATGGCTCAATATCTGTTTGTTTGTTTCTTTGGTTTTTCAATTTAGGATCAGTGTGACTGATGAAATAGACCACCAAGTAAAGGGAGAAAATAAGTGCCCAATTCTTCATGTCCTTGTACTGTGGATCCTGGGTAGTTAACAAGTGGCATTTTTTCATTTACTAGAAGTAATAAAGGGTGAAATTCTTCCTCAAATTATGTTTTCCAGTCTCATGTGAATTTAGACATAGTCCTTTTGAGATGTAACGTGCTTGAGTAACCTGCAAGTTTGGAGTTCCTCATAGCTGGTATTAAAAACATGGATTTTTAAAGCCTATTGACTAATATACCCCTAAAAATTTTGGATTTGCTTATTTTAACTTTAACAGATTTGTCTTTTTTTTTCCATTTATAAGATCCTTATATCTGTGTTTGAGATGTAAGCCTTGTGATACATTTTTAAATATACATGAATTTTATAATATGAGAAACCTAGCTTGTTTAGAATTACTTCTCTTCAGGCCATACTGACCGAAGGGAGTCCTAAAAAAGAAAGAAATAAAAAAGCCTGTATTTGTCTTTTCCAAGATTGTCTAAAGATCTAGATCACTTTCATTTAGGCAATACTAGTTGGATTTGCTTTATGATTATTATCTGATATAGAATGTTAAGGAGTGAAAGTAATACAAAGCTTACTTTACCTGTTGAATTTACATGACACATATCACATGAAAAACTTGACCATGTCAGGGTTGTTCAGAGAAGAAATTTTACTTAAGA